CGCACCTGTCTTCATATGTTGTAATACCTCTGACTTCAATTAGCATTTACTAATCCCACCCAAATTAAAGGCATGGTCCAGTCTTCCATATCTTTTCCATGTCACTTTTACCTTCCTTCATTTGGCTCAGTATACAGTCTACTGTCTCACTAAATCTTGCAAGGCATGGTCCAGTCTTCCATATTCAAACACTCCAGTGTTGTAGTCGAGTACTTTTGGAGTACCAAGTTCTGTGCCAAACATTGAACTAGTTAGGAGGGAACAAAGCTGAATTACATGGGCATTTGAAGGTACATGTACATGCACAAGGGTAAGATTACAAAGTAGACTAATGGCTTCAGATTATTACTAAAGGAATAAATATGCGCTTGGCTGGTCTTAAATGCACATTTAAGACGAGCTCAGGAGAATGGTTGCAACTAATGCCCGAGCCACTGGTGAGGGCATTATCGGCATTCAGTGTAACGAACGTCTAACTAACATTCAAGACCAGCCAAGCACATATTTATTCCCATTCATAAATATCTTTTTAGTCAGAGAATCAAAAAAGTGAATATATGATGGATTTCCAGCGATTTTGCCCAGGAATTTACTTTCATTTTCCCAAACTCCCCCTATCCATTTTATGGAAAATGCCTTGTTCAAATTGACCAATTGGCATACTCGTGGTGAGTCGCTTGCACAACGGCTGTTGACCAATCAGAATCGATTAAGCTGTCTTGTATTCAGGTGCCAGCACTTGATTAACGCAGCGGGCATTATCACTTCTCAGCGGGCATTATCAAATGTTATTTCACTGTCAATTTGCACGTTGTTGAAAAGGGAGACTGTCTGAGGTATTCATGAATGTTTAACAGAAATTAAGTTTTTAGGATAAAAGTAATTGAAAAGTACTTTTCTTCTTAAACTTAAATATTTAAACTGGGAGTGCCTGAAGTCTTAAATTTACATGTAGTTTGTAATCTTACCTGTGCTTTTACCATCAAATTCCTATGTACTCCAGCTTTATTCCTTCTTACTCAGTTCAATATTTGGCAGAGAACCTTGGTGCTCAAAAAGTATTCCACTATAACACTGCTAACACTCCCCGCTTCCTTATCAGTTTGCCTTCCTTTAGCCTCGCCCAAGTTCAAGATGATTCAGATGCTTCCCAAGTCACTGCCTTTCATCACTTTCTGATCCATTTTCATGTCTAATAATGGCTTCTCATCTGCTGTCTTGTAACACTTCAAGTCTGTGCATCATGAAATCATCACCTGGGGCTTCAGTGTGTCTTCACAGCTTTTTGAATGAATGACTGTATGTGCGAACTACACTGTGCTGGTGAGATTCAAGTCTCACATCTTTGGGTGGGGTTCAAGTTTAGGAAGGCACTAGTTGTAAAGGATTGTTTTTACAAAATTGCTTCTTTTCACCAATTATCTATCCAAAAAAATCAGCATTGTTAGGAATTTGTTAGATTTCTTCACAGGTGTTGGAAGCAGGGGGCATGACCCCCACTTTTTGTAGGAGCCATAATGGGATGGGGCTTAATAGATCAACCTATTAATGGCCGATGCTTGATGGTCTCACAACTGCCCCCTCCCCTTTGAAAATCAAAAATTCTGTTGCCGTTGGATCACTTAGGTGTTTACTGTTTGTACCCAAAAAATGTGCTGAATTTATTTCCTTTTTACGTGTAATGTATATACATACATATACATAGAAAATTTAAAGTAAGGGTTTTCCCATTAATTTATATATTTCATAACGAAATACGGAAGAGACTTATTGATGTTTTGAATCTGTGCAGATAATTTTTCCTTTCTACTTTTATAACCTCTGGCCATAATTTGTCATGGAAACTGTTCAGGTGGCTTGTGAGTGTCATTCCTTAATTGAAGACGTTTCCTGTCAAGGAACCCTGATAGGCAATGCTAGTCAGTGTCTTCATAGTTAATAGTTTTTCAGCTTATACACACCCCATTTCTCAATCGAACCAATCACCAAATTTGTTGCTGAGATGTGATCGTCACTCCTTCCAATCTGAAACGGAGCAGCAACGGATACCAAGACACTTAATATAGCCGCTGCCACATCCCCCGTGCCCTGTGTGCAAATTTATTCCCCAACACCCATCCGATAAAAATGACCCCAACATGCGACAGTAAAACTAGCTGAATTCGAAACAACACCCTGCCATGGTGCCATGATATCGATACATGTTAAAACAAATTTACCCTGAGCAGTAGATTGTTGGACGACTCATCTCTGGCAACTGTTAAAGCATGGATTGTTCGGATCCACCCACCGGCGTTATAAACCGTGCTAGGCAAACTCTTTGGTGCAGCCCCCTAGTTGTGAAAACTAGCCCCCAAGGTTGTCCCAGGAGAGAACGATGATTGATTGTGGAGCCACTTTCACAAAAGGAACCGACACTGCAGATGTGCCGTCAAACTCAGTATAATAACTTGGGTGTCAGGTTGAGTTGAGTGGAGAATGCTAACAATCATGGAGATGTACTTGGCATTTAGGAAGCCTTTTCATTTCAACTCCAGCATTTCAAATTTAGTTATTATTCTGTTTAATAAGTACATGTATTATCCAACAGGAGGTTTTGTGAATCAAAGAACTTCATCTGTGACCTTCATTTCAATTTCAAGAAACATTTGTTAGTTTCTCAAGTATTGCATTCAAAATGCAACCAAATTCCATTATTTATGAAAAAAATGAATCATTATTGTAGTACACATACTTTAGCAGTTTTCTGTACTTCCATTTGCACTCACCAAATCAAGACTTGTATCCAAAACTGCCCAACTGCAGCCTTGGAATATCACCTGATACTTTTCCTCCTCTCATGAGAGTACATTGTAAAGTCTACCGAGATATGTGACTTTCTACACTGTTGTCCCATCATCCCTTATTGGGAATATTTACTATATTTGTATTCTCACTTTACTCTTGTGTAAAGCTTTCAACAACTGTTGTCAGTGTAGACATTGGTCTTTGAATTTTGTAGTGTTTCCATTTTGCCCAAAATGCCATTTGAAACGGATGATCCCTGAATTGATGTAAAGTTACTGTATCATAGTGCATGCCAACCCAGTCTTGAATGTTATGGCTTGATTGCTCCAAACCATCCTGTTATGAAGGATTCAACAACAGTTGTGAATGCTTGCGTGTAGAGTCTTCATCCCTGTATCCTCTTGGGATCGTCTTCTCTTACCATCTGCCTCCCATCCTTCCTCCTCTCTGTCTCCCCCCCCTGCCTCCTCATCAGTATGCCGATGGGATGCAATCCTCATTGCTGATTCCTTCAGCATCCCTGTCCATGCTGTGATCATCTGTGAGACTTGGCTAGGGAGCTACTGGTCAGGTGGACTAGATAGGAGAGGCTGTGATAGGAATACTGATGGTACTGAGAGTTAGCACAGGGCAAGCGATGTTTACACCTCCGATAAGATTCCAATGAAGTGAAGATTTGTGCTTTGAGCCTTCAGGCTTAATCTTAAAGAGATCATCACTGATGATTTGTTGATGATAATTACATCAGGTTAGCTAGGACTCGCTTCGCACACTCATATCATGTAATTGACATTTGGTCTGGTTTCCCAAAAACATGTGGTGTGTTTGTTTCTGGATTGTCAGCTTTGCCTCAGCTTGCTACCTTGTACAAAGATTAGAAAGCATTTGCCAATGCATGATACAGCCTTATGGGCAATTGGCTGGAATCTAAGTGTGTCTGTCACAATTTTTACATCCCTGCAAAAAGTCGAAAAGCATAATCAGAGGCTCAACCTCAGTTATTCATCCCTCAACAAATCATCCCTCAACAAAATGGCTTAACCCTATCATTTATATTCTTTCAGCCAGGCTAGGACAATTTCTTGACATGTTTTTTTAGTATCCCTGATGCTGTTCACAATCGCAAATAAAATTTCCTTCACTTGTGCTTTACACCAAGAAGTCACAAAGACAAAACATAGAAAAAAATTGGAAATGTGGACTAACAAAAAATATTTACAGAATTCTGAATTATTCTTAAATGTTGATTTTGGGGACATTTTGTAGATTTGACAATTGAAATTAGATTATTAAACAGTTGGTCCAGATACTAGAGCTTGGCCTCATTTCAAGTTTTGGTTTTACTTTTCAGGGCCCCAGATTAAAATTAGTCTTCTGTCCTACCTCTTTCCTTTTTTTTCCTGTCCCAATGTAGATTCATTCCAGCTAAGTGCTAATTCCTGATCGGATTAACGACTCCTCAATTACTGTCTAGGGTTCACCTTGCATGTCCACTGATGACAATTAAATATTTGCAGAGAGGGAATTGAGTTATTACTAATTCATTGAGCATGTGGGAGCCCTGGCACTTTGGTGTCGTACATCACCGGATCCAGCCTCTTCCATTCCCTGCTTGCAGCCACTCCAAAACCATTTTTCAAACTCTCTGTCAGGATGGCTCAGTTGCCCAATTAACCAGGAGACCAGATGAACTCACAGTGTAGTTCCTTGAACTGTATTTTGTGCTCATAACCTGTCATGCCTTGGTAGGTCAAAAATCACTGACCTTTAGAAGAAATCGTGGGAAATGTTAGTCCCATCAGCTTATGGATATGGATGTGAGCAAGTGGTTGCTTTGAATCTCATTGGTTGGGAGTGGTTACTTTAAATCGCATTGGTTGGGATTGCTCAACTTAAGTGCTATGATTGGCCCTAAGAATCTCTGCACTCCTTTAATCAAATATCACCACAGTGCCTATTATGATCAATAATGCATTCAAAGAGATGACTGGTTTGAAAACCTGAGTGGTTGCAATAGTGGATACAGCACTTAAAAAGTCAAAGGAGCATCATGATCTGCAACACTTTTGCAGTCTTTAGTTTTGATTGTAGAAGTTCAAATCCTACAGATGTCATTTCAGGGTCATGATGGTCTCTTAGAGCAGGTAAGTATTGCAATCAGGAATGTTCATTTAATCATTCATTTTCATTTGGTTTTGTTCTTCTGTTTGTAGTCTCTCTAAGCGAAATGCATTTGTTGAAGACTCTATCACAAAAGATGACTGTCAGCGTTTTCTGGACTCACTCCTCTTCAAAATGGGCACAAGTTTGGAGCAGCTAACCTTATGGGTGGGGGAAACATTCAGCCATGATGGTACCTCTTGACGAGGTTTGTTTCCCTTTTACTCCATTTTGTTTTAGTCCTAAAGCCTCCCCCTACTTTCTCAGTACCTAACTTATTTCCCCTTTTTGTAACTTGAACATTCCCACAGAACAGGGGAAAAAGCTTTCTTTCCAGAGCAATACATTTTTTCAGTAAAGTTTTAGATGCAGAATGAGACTGATGTCTTAAATGGAACCTGACCACGATGCACAATGAAATCAGAGAAAAATGATTAACCCTAACAGTCCTCAATCCTCCAACAGGTGAAGGATTGAGGACTGTTAGGGTTAAACCAACTTACACTCTGATTTAGCCCACCACACAAACTAACTTAAGCCTCATAGAGGTCTTTACATATATTTATCACAAGCACAAAATTTGAGGCACACAATAGACCGATTGTGTCCACAAAGTCCTGTGACCTACATTGGTATCAAACATCAGCCAACATAGCATCCTCCCATAACAAGTGTGTCATAAGTGTCATTTACCAAAATAATGCTTACGGTAGGCATAGTACTCAGTCTACTGATGTGCTGAGCACTATACTGAAAATTGGCTTTATTTTTGGTAAACAACACATATGACACACTTTGCTATGGAAGGATGCCATATTTGTTGATGTTTGATACCCACTATAGGTCATGTGACTTAGCTGGTGCAATCGGTCTAAAACCCAAAACCTTCAGAACAGCTCTCCTGACTTCATTTTTCTCTTAGCCAGGACTAAATCTGCTGCAGCCAATCAGAACTGTGAACAGCAGATGGAGTTTGTTCTTACTGATTCATTGCTCTCATCTCATCAATAAATTAAGTCTACTATTCAGTATTAAGACATCAGCGTTAATATTACATTGACATTATTAACGATGTGACATCATCTGTTGTCTGTGCTTCTCTTCCCATATTTCCATATATTCATCAGGCCAGCATCCTGTACTTTTGTCTGGATTGATAATGCCCCGATTCACTTGATATTTTTGTTCTCCACTATTTGTCCTGCTTTCTTCAGGCTGGTAAATGTGTTGCATGCTGTTGTTATTGACCAGATTTTTTTTGGGTTGTTTTGTCTGTTTGTCCCATCTTTTTGCATTGTGCCTGTCTTTTTATTATATCTGATTGAATCAGTCCAGATGCAAATCCGCAGACGAAAAAAGTAAAAAATGGGGAGAATAATAAACCATAACTAAAGTAAGCGCACCAATACCATTGTAAACAATGTATATTGTTTCATCATTGTTTTTGCTTGTCTACAAAAATGAGACATTAAAAAATTGTCCGGCCTGACTCTCCTCCCCCAGAAAAATTCCTGGATCCCCCCTGTAGTCATGTCTATCACATCCATTTCATTTTGCATGTGCTAGGTTACTAGCCCCTTTATTTTCAACCTCTCTTCACACCCTGTTCATCCTGTCTTTGCCCATCTCAGTTATTTCATGTCCACTCTCCTCAACTCTTAATCCCCTCCGTTTCCAACCTCATTCCAGCCAGCCAAGCCCCACTGCATCACAAT